CCCCCCCACAGACCACACAGAGTATGTTCTTACATTCTCAGCCTGGTTTAGAACATTGAAGTGTTCTAATGCAGAGGGGTATATACCCCCACAGAGATAAGCCCATATTCTTCTGGGGAGGATAGGTTCTTAATACGGAACACGAACCCGGACGATGGATGGACCAGACTTCATGTCCTCCAAGATCAGACTTCGTAAAGCTTGGGTTACTGTGCCTTCTTTACCTACAAGAAGCAAGCATATACATATACATACATATATTTTTATATTGAGCATTAAGTTAACCACCACATACACAGAGTAAAAAGGGATATAAAAAAAATATGCTTACCATCACCTATGATCTGGTCATCCCACTGCACCACTGGCTTGACAAGAACACCACTACCAATTAGCATCATCTCACCAGCTCTCTTTCCATCCTCAACACTCACTTTCTTTACCCTTATGGAGCATAATTCGCCCGTTTTTACCAAATCCTCAGCAAGAGCTAAAACCCGTTTAGCAGTAAGTCCGCGGAGAATTTTCTCAAAGTCGGGCATGAGAAGCTCTTTTTCCTTTGTAACGAAAGCGACATTCATGTTGGGCCCTTCTGCGACAAACCCGTCCCCGTCCAGCCATATCGCTGCATATGCACCGTTCTCCTCTCCTTCCATCTTTGAAAGCACATTAGGGAGATAATTCACGCTCTTCATCACAGCAAACTGTGGGGGTTTTATTGGGATGGATGAGGTAATGACTTTAACACCCTTGTGATCGTCTTGTGGTGATTGGTCTTGTATCACAATGGCATAAAGAGCGGATTGATGGCAACCCAAAGGGGAGAGTTGGAAGTCACCCGGTCCTGCGGAAAGCCAGTACCTCAACGAACCTTTTCTGCACTTGGATGTGCTCGCCGTCTGTATTAGTATCCTTCTGATGCTTTCTTTGTCAAATGGAGGTTTTATTTTAGCCATGGCTGCAGACCTCAAGAAGCGCTCAATGTGTTGGTCCAACTCGTAAAGGTGCCTGAGAAAATTGAAGAAGATGACACAGTTATTACTAAATGGCCTTCAATGAAACTATCAAGATAGCATTACAGGGATGTGAATCACATTGGCAACTCCATCAAATCTTTCAAGAGCAGAAGGCCGGTTTGGCACTAGAGATCTATTACAGTTGAATCATAAGTATATGCAAAAGGCTGTGCAGTGATAAAATATTTGAACTAACAAATACTCCCTCCGTCTGGATTCAGTTCTCTTTTTGTTCTAAAAACAATCAATTTTTATAAAAATGAGTTTTAAATGTCAAATAAGTTTTTCAAGTTTCATGCTCATTAATGTTAACAATGCTTTTATACCCTATCTCTAGGATATTCTAGAGAACTCATTATAAATTCTTTATTTCAAAAGCGCACAAAGTGGAGAACTGATTCCCGGTAAACGGAAACAAGAAATTAGACAATTAAATCTAGAAGGAGGGAGTAGTTAACTTCTTGTGGTTAAACTAAAATGAATAACCCTCAAAGAGTCTCATACCCAAATGCTCAACAAAGGATGATGGATGGGTTGGTAAGATTTTAAGTTTAGTTAAATCATATTATATGAATGGAAATCATCCTATAAGTCACCGAAACGAAACACGACATAAGAACTAACCCATCTATAATTGCAGCAGTGTCAAAAACTCCATGCCCTCTATGCACCATATGATCGTCCATAGGGATGACCATAGCTGCTGTATCAGTCACAATTCCTCCAAAAATGCTAGAGTACATTGCCACATAGCTCTGCTTCTTTGGGTACCTCTCTCTGCTTGCTCTTAGCCTCTCAATGGCCTAATAACAAATAAATGGTTACTTTTTTGCACAATTAGGCTTTTCGAAAAACAGTAGGTTTCTTGAGAATTGAACTTGTGATCTTGGGTCAGAAAGACCTGGGTACAATGTCACTGACCAACCCAACCAAAAAATTTGTGTTTGGAGGCTGGGGAAAAGTGTTATACTCTAACAAAATAGGGACTTGAGTGAAGCGGACCTCATAGCAGGAGAGATGGGTGACTTCAGATGTTTGAATGGCTTGTGCCTCTGCCATGAAACCCCCCCAAAGAAAAAAGATACATTTTTGAATCAGATCTTCTTAAAGAAACAAAAAANACCCCCCCCCCCCCCCCCCCAAAGTTACATTTTTGAATCAAATCTTCAAGAAACAGAAACACAACAGAAATCTACCTGGAGAAGTTTGGGTTTGATTTGGATTAAGGGCAGAAGTTGATAGAATGGAGGAATTGGGGAGCCCATGTCCTGAAACTGAGAGGCGGCGTGGGGGTTTGGCATTCGAATTTCTGAAGAAGAGTGGGGTTCTTGAGATGGTGAGGGATGGTGAGAAGGACGCCATTGCTCAATTTCTCAGCCTCTCAGGCAAGCATTTCCTTGGATGCTTGTTTATTTATTGTTTGCTGTCTCTTCTTGCCTCCTCGTTTTTAGGTGAATACCGAGTAATGATGAACTATAGCAATACAAAATGAAATTATGTTTGTGGCATCCCACCATTTGTATTTTGTACAACTAGCATTTTTATATAAATGATTTATTGAATAATTTCATTTTTAATAATTTAACATATAGGATTTATTGAAATTTTTTTACATTTAGTAATTTTATTTTTTGATTAAAAATAAAAGTTTAATCTCATATCAATTGCCACATAATATGCCCCATATTATGCCACATGTATATTAAGGAGACACCTACTTAGATTAGAATGTTTATGTTCTTTGTATCTTATTCTTCTTATCCCTTGTATAGTCTCATCCGTATGGTTGTACCTTCCCTAACTTAGTGCCTTGGTTTTAGGATAGCCAAGCCCATCTGCATGTACGTAAGTATAAAGCCACAAGGCATTCTTCCATAATGGATATACAACTTTGATACTAATCATTACTCTTATGTGTTACTAGCTTCTGCAAGTCCCGGGCTGGTTCCTCTTTGTTCATGTATGCTAAGGCTGGCGTGTTGGCCTATTTTTTGATTTATGTGAATGACATCATTATTACAGGCAACTCCTCTTCGTTTATTGGCTCCTTTGTTGCTGCACTGTCACGCCAGTTTGCTCTAAAGGACCTGGGCACTCTTAGTCATTTTCTGGGTGTTGAGGTTATCCCTATGTCCTCCGATCTGTTTTTATCTCAAGCTGAGTATATCTCCAACATTCTTGATAGTACTCAAATGGCTGATGCAAAAGGTCACTCCACTCCCATGATGCCTCGTTCTTCTCTTGCCTCGGCTGTGGCAGCTTCTCCTGCCGATGTCACTGCCTTCCGCCGGGTCCTTGGCCGGTTGCAATATCTCTCACTAACTCGGCCGGATGTCTCATTTGCTGTTAATAGGCTTGCTCAATCCATGCATGCTCCCACCACTGGTCATTGGGAGGCGCTCAAGCATCTTCTTCGGTATCTCAAGTCTACTTTGTTCCATGGTTTATTTCTCTCCCAAAACGTACCGCTACAGCTTTCTGCTTTTTTGGATGCCGACTGGGGGGCGTTATTGATGGTGGGCGCTCTACAACGGGCTACGTTCTTTATCTTGGCTCCAACATTATCTCTTGGAAATCTGCTCGACAGAAAACTGTTTCTCGTTCATCGACTGAGGCCGAATACCGCGCACTTGCTAACACGGTGGCCGAACTTGCCTGAGTTCAAAATCTGCTTTCTGAGTTACGGGTCAGCTCTCTTCCTGCTCCACGTCTTTTTTGTGACAATCTTAGTGCGGTTTATAGCTGCAAGAGTCCAGTTTTCCACTCTCGTATGAAGCATCTTGCTCTTGATTATTTCTTTGTCCGGGATCTCGTTGCTTCTCGTCGCGTGCATGTCGTTCATGTCCTTACTGTAACACCCTAATCCGTCTAGGTCTGCAGGCCCTTTCGGACTAAAGTATTGATTTGGTAATCGTGATAATTTAAAACATTTCAACATCTTTATTTATCATAAAATAATATTCCATACATAACAGTAATAAATTACGGAGTTTTTAACCATAATGCGGAAGCAATTTAAATCATGTCTCATAACAATTTAATTTATTCATTTTAACTCATAAATCCACCACGATCGTCTCGCCCCTTCTACTGCCAGGAACATGCCAATCACTCATTCTGCCTACCTGCGTGTAGCAAATAAAACACACTACACGCTCAGCGGTGAAGCTGAGTAAGCATATCTAAAGCGTCGAACATCCACATAAATTGAATCTCAATTCACAAACAACCATTTGATATCATGCACGCAATATATAATTCATGATATTCTCAATATTTTTATTTCAATATCTCAATATTCAATATTTATATTCAATATTCAATACTCAACAACATCCTTAAACTATACTTAGTCTAAAGCTAATCTTTTTTATATTTACCAACTCTTAAACTAGTTCTAGTTCAAGGTACTTCTATCCAACTCTTAAGCTAGGTCATTAGTTTAAGGCACATATATTCCAATTGATTTACCAACTCTTAAACTAGCCTTCGCTTAAGGTACAAATCCAGAAAACTGAACAGTAGAATACTAACTGTCGGGTTGGGTGGTATCCCCAAACGAGTTCCTCTAGTTTGGTTATGGATCTCGTACGTACGTTTTTACCAAGGGCCACCGAATACACACGTTTATACCCGCAAGGCCCATTCTAATTGGAGGTCTATCTTAGAGGTCTTCTAGATAGCTTTAACAATACCACTCATTTTTATTAACCCATTTATTTTGATTTCAGTTCAATACTTTATAATCATTATTTTATTCAGAATAATCATCATCATTAATCCATAATAATCATGCATTATAATCATAACATTGAAAGCAATAGCAATTAGCGGTCCAACTTCGAGTTTTAACACCCTAGCTTACCGTCATGCATCACGTAAGGTCTTTAATTGTTAAAACATCATTTTTATTTCTAGAATTTATTATTCATATTGATCATAATTGATTAGTGTCAAAAATAAGATTTAATGGTTCAAAAATCGGATTTTCTAGAAACTAATCGGATCAGACGGTACCCTTCACGGTACCTCAATACCAGCTAACAGTACCTCGATACCGTGCCGGCGGTAGGGGGTACCGCCGGTAGACAGGTACCGCCAGAGGAGCTTGGTGGCGACGGTAGCGCCCTACCATCCCGGCAGTAGGTGGGTACCGTTTGGACAGTACCTATCAACCGTGCCGGCGGTAGTGGGTTACCGTGCACTGTTCATCGTCTTCCTCCTCGGGTCTATTTTCGGGAATTTCATTTTTGGTCACCAAACTTCAATTAAACTATATAGAAATGTTCTCCAATGTTCACGGATCATTTTGGTATCATTATTTCATAGTTTTAACATCAAATTCAAGGTTTATGATTCTTAGTTCTTCAAACATGTCAAACACAAAACTCAACCAAATGACCATTTATGAACGTAGAAACGACCTATATGAACATTCTAGTCATTAGATATATATGCGGGCTTACCTCGAAGATAAATGAAGGTTTTGAAGATTTTCCGGCGAAACTTCCGGCGAGGATTGTGGCTATCACTGGCGACGAGAAGCTTTCTTGACACCACTACTTCACTCTCTACACTCTTAGCTATCTCTTGGAAGAAGATTGGTGAAGAATGGTGAGAAATTGGAGGGTTTATATAGGAAGGAGGAGTGGGAAGAAGCCATGGGAGAGGTCTCTGTTTCCTGTTCTTGCGGCTGAGTGGAGCAAGCAGCTATCTCTACGGACAGATTTTAAACGTAAGTCCCTGATTGGGACTAATTTCAGTCCTAGTCGGGGTACACTTTTTGGTCCAACTTTCTCCGAATTAAAATCCGATTGAACCGTTACGGTCAGACAGTCAAGCTCTACACAACGATATAATTTTCATTAATTATTGACAAACTTTATAATTCCCTTATTTTTGGGTCGTTCTCAGTAATTAATTAATTATTAATTAATTAATTTTGATAGGCCTAATTTCGGGGCGTTACACCTACCACGGAGCAAATTGCTGATATTCTAACAAAACCTCTTGGCCGAGCTCTATTCCACAAATTCCGATCCAAGATTGGCGTCTCCGATAGATCCGCCATCTTGCGGGGGCGTATTAAGGAGACACCTACTTAGATTAGAATATCTATGTTCTTTGTATCTTATTGATCTTATCCCTTGTATAGTCTCATCCGTATGGTTGTACCTTCCCTAACTTAGGGGGTGTTTGTTTTTCCGCCAGAAGACCTTCTGGCGTCTTTTGTCTGCGCCGCGCAGACGCGCGCAGATGATGGGCTCTGCAAATTGTTTGTTTTTTGGAAGACATTTCACTCAAAAAGGTCTTCCTGCCATCTTCTTGGAAAAGACATTAACCAATGTCTTCTAACATCTTCTCCTTTTTTTTCTACTTCTCTTCACCACCACAACCGTTCACCACCACCGTCCACCACTACCACCGTCCACCATCCCCGTCACCGTCCATCACCATCGTCGTCCACCACCACCGCCACCATCAACCGCCACCACCACCACCATCCACCACCACTGCCGTCAACGTCCACCACCACCCTCCACCACCACCACAATCGTCCATACACCACCACCGTACACTACCACCATTAATTTATATAGCAGTCTATAGACATTAAAAATACAAACAGTCTTCTTCTTGCAGACCGCAGACCTTCGGTCCACCACTTCTCCTGCAGATGTCTACAGTAGTGGTCCGCAGACCTTTTCCTGCAGAAAAAACAAACACCCCCTTAGTGCCTTGGTTTTAGGATAGCCAAGCCCACGTAAGTATAAAGCCACAAGGCATTCTTCCATAATTGATATACAACTTTGATACTAATCATTACTCTAATAATGTATAACTCATATTATGTCACATGTCAAGCTCTTATGCATCGTTAGTTTCTTTTATAACATAACTAGTATTCTAACCCGTGCCATGCACGGGGTCAAATGAAATTTTTGACGATTCTGCAAATTATCTTTAACTAGTATTTTAACCCGTGGGACACACGGGGTCAAATGAAATTTTTACCAGTCTTGTAAATTATCTTCAATGTAATATCTTTAAATAAAATCATGAAAATATATGTAATTTTCTTTTTAACACTAAAGACGTTAAAATCAAATTAAAATAAATAATTTAGCATTTAATATTTGGTAATGATAATTCTTATATTTAAATTCAAAAGTGAACACTTCAAAGTGTTATTAAATCTATATTTTTAAAGACGTCAAGGTCTACAACATTTTTGGTGTGGTTGTAACAATTTTCATTATCATCAAAAATTAATATTTCTAAACATGTCTTTTTTTCACTCGTGAAATAGAAACATAAAGTTGACCATGAGTGAGCACCGAGTTGGTTAAAAGAAATTCAACAAATGCCAATGTTTGATCTTGACTTTTGTTAACAGTCATAGCAAAACATGAAATTATTAGGAACTGTCTTCCTTAGAACTTCAAGGGTAGTCTTGGATCAGATGATGCGAAATTCATTATAGGTATATAAACCTTTCCCGCGATTCGATTT